TTATTATTATTATTAATATCACTATTATTAGTATCACTATTATTGTCATTATTATTGTTAGTATCACCCAGCAGCATCCCCCCAAGGAACAGCGTATCCCCATTAGATCTGAAAAAATCACCATTGTTAATTACCACTATTCTTCACCCAAGAGGATTGCATGTTCTCATCAGTTTATTCGTATTATTAGCGCATTAGGAATACTATTTGCATTACTACTCGTATTTTGAATTTAACATTTGAATTATTCAACAGTATTTTAGTCTTTCTAAAGATTCTATGTATGACTATATTAATTATACATGGCTTAACTGCAACATTTATAGAATTTCGCAAATTGAAATGACGAATTGTCAAAAAATGAAGTGAATCAAGTGATTGATCGAATGTGATACAAATAAATGACCGTTTCAAGTTCATCGATTGTATTTGCAGCCACTAAATTGGTTGTTCCTTGAGCTTTCGATTTGGTTGATTTTGATTTGCACGGTTGAGGTTTGGGACATGAGGTGGGCACAGGTGGACATTGCTTTACTGGTGGACAAGGCGCTCGGGGAGGGGGAGGAGGGGGACAGTGACATCCGAACATCTGATTAGTGGAATAATAGATTGGTTGGAGAAATGCATTGCTATAGGTTGCGATCGACAACTGCACGAATGAGACGATTATGACAGTTTGTAGGTAATTGAGAAACATTCTGAAATTGCAAATTCGAGAGAACATTCAGTGTTGTTTTTCCTTCTTCAAATGTCAAATCTTCAAATGTCAATTCTTCAAGACCTAAGAAAAAGAGAATCTGCAATGATATTTCTGTTCACGTTTAACGGTTGTTCATGATAAGGTTGCTGAACGATTGCTGAACGAAAACTGTGCATATGCACATGACATACATTATTCTCGCACTACAGTTCATGTTCATTAGATGATTTATGTTATGAAAACATAAATTAAATTTCATTTTATAGCAATTCAAGCAATTTTGCTTGAAATATTGAAATTTTCGTAATGCGATCGAGCATCATTAGATTTGTTCATATGACATAGAGTGGTTTTTGCTAGGTGATCATCGAAGATGGATTGATCTATTCACGATGAGTACATTTTTCAAACAATGTGAAGAAGAAATTAGAATTTGATTAGTTGAATAGCGATTCATTCGTTTATGTTCTTCATTAAGCGATGGCAACAACTTTGGAATATCGT